TTCCCATTCACAGCTGAGTGGGCAGGTGACACGTGTTAAGAGAGAGCTGCTTTTTGATTTTCCTCTTATGAAGCTTGTCAACTAAATTGAATTTTGGGTTTTCAAAATATCAGAGTGGATGAAGTCTTGGCATATTTTAGCATTTAACTAAGTCTTACACATGGCTCCAGAGGAGGATCTTCCTTCTCCAGTTAATATTAAATTATCAGTGCTTTGGCAGGAAGCAGAAAGTGCCATGTGGCTTGTGATTTTGGAAAGTTAACATTGAAATACTCATCGTACATTACATTTATAGAAAATATTGAGAGGAAATTTCTCCCTGGCAAGCTATATCCAAGGTTTGTTCTCTTTCTAAAATAAATTGCAAATCCTTTTAACGCTATCCTTGTAATCTATGCATATAGGTGAGGTCATCATATGTCTTATAACAAGTCCATTTTGTCCTTCAGAAATTATATCCTCCTGGTGATCAAATCTAACATGGTTTCTACCAAACCAGCACATATTTTTCAACTTTGGGAGGACACAACAGAGGAGAAATTTGCTTTCACTTTGGACATGGCTGAGTAGTTGCTGGCTGTCAGTGGGGAACAGGCTCCATCCATCGATTAGCACAGCAATACGTGGACACACAATTACAGAAATGCAGACACATTATTTGCATTTGATTTTTGGTATAATGTTTCTTCTGAATAAATCAGGCATAATTATGAGCCACATGTGGCTAAATCAGGTAGAGGGATCCCAGGGAATTGGTTGGTATACATCAAGAGAAATGTCAGTGGTTTATATTTATTATCTTTTGTTCGTAGCAACCTCTGAAGGCAGCTGCTGTGCAATAGTCATTTGTCATTCCTTGCTTCTAAGTGCCAGTTTGCCAAGTGAGTTTCTGCATAAGTGGCAGCATTTATACAAATGCTAATACAATTTTTGAACATTAGTGAGAAGCATGGAAACAATATTTTACTAAGGTACAATAGTACCTTAGTAAGTCAATAACAGTGGTACTTAATATCAAATAGCAATTTTTATCCAGGGATAGCTATATAATTGACAATAGAATTGGCACAAATTATTTACAAACATTAAGGGCATTGGGTTGCCATATTTAGACCATAGTTTATCTGACCTATGAATGCACTGAAAGGAAATGTGAAATTTTCATTCAGCATCTTCAAAGAGTAGAAAATGACTACCTCAGGCATATGATAACCAAAAGGTTTAGTCACACTCATATACATAATCTTAAAATTGCTTTTATTTACTATTCTCATCTTTATTTCAAGTCTAGTTGTATACTTTATGAATCCACAAATGATTGCCTTTATTGAAAGGTTTGTGTTATTCAAGATGACTTGTAAAGTTTACTCAATCTTCCCTAGCAAGGGAAACAGGAAATTCCAAAGAACACTAGACTCAGCAAACCTATAAAATCTGAGAAAGCAGACCATTATTTCTGGAGACATTTCACATAACACTTTGGGAAGCAATGACTAATTAGTTTTTGGTCTTAACAATAGCACTTTCAGGGGGCTGTTTTCTTTTTTCTTTTTTCCCCCCTTTTTATAGCTTTCATATTAGGAAAAGAAGGAAAGTAGCTCTGAATGATGAAATATTGGCAACGTATTCACTTGCTTCTCTGTAGGAGCCCAGCTCTTTGATCCTTAGTACAATTATTTTCATTGCCTGGCTGATATTAACCGGCTGGAGAGTAACAACCAATTGTTGCAGGCATAACAACATCCTAATGCGCTTTGCTTCTAATGACTGACTATTTCAAATTGAAGGCTCTGTTCTTTATATTCTTAAATTCCGATTGTAGTAAGTTAAGCCCTTAAAGAAGTATAGGTGCTTGTTCACGCCTAGAGCCTCATCTTTTTGATGGCAGAACCTTGCCTAGCCACTCACTCTCCAACTGCCAGAGGATACTTGGTCATTATAGGGGGTAGGATTTATTCTGAATTCTCTAAATGTGAACCTTTACATGTTAAGTTTCCTTGCTTGCATTATTATCTCTATGTATTTACCTATTTATTTGCTCATTCATTCATTTTAGAATTTCACTTTCATATATCTAAACACAAGCCACCTTCCTTGACTTTTCTTTCTTCTCTCATTTCACTTCCAATCTATCATTGACTCTTATAGGCACTACCTCTACTATAATCCTGCTGATCCTGGCCATCACTATGGCACTTGGATTATTGTAGTATCCATCAAATTGATTTCCTTGGCTTTGTCCTAACTGTCCCCTCCCCCAGCCTGGCCACAATTTAAAAAAAAAATATTCTAATATTTTCTTTTATTGTGGTAAGAACACTGAACATGAGATTTACTCTCTAAATATATTTTTAAGTGTGCAATATATTATTGTTATCTATAGGCACAATATTGTGCAGCAAAATTTATTCATCTTGTATAACTGAAATTTTATACTTGTTGATTATATCAAGTATAATAAGCTCCTCACCCCTTCCCCCAGATCTTGGAACCACTATTCTACTCTTTGCTTCTGTGAGTTTGACTATTTTGGATACCTAATATAAATGAAATCTTGTAGTATTTGTCCTTCTGTGACTATCCTTATAGTTCATTCATGTTGTTGCATATGGCAGGATTTTCACCTTTTTAAAGGCCAAATAATATTCCATTGTATGTATATACCACATTTTTGTTTTTTACAATAAAGAATAAGCCTTTCATTTTTCATGTTACTATGTGCCAGGAGATGTATACATGTATCATTTCCAGTCCTTACACCAATCCTGCAAAGAGCATACTACCATGCTGTGGTACAAATAGTACAGGTTTTAAAGAGAGACACAAATGGGTTAAATCCTGGTTCAGCTACTCTGATGCACTGTAGGTGGCTGGCAGGATATAGTGGTACTTAAATGAGTGAATATATGTAAGACCCTAACACACTGTCTGGCATGAAATGGCAGTTCAATAGTGTTCATTCCCTCTTAGTCTTCAGTAAGACTATGTAAATCTCAATATTATTTTTCAGAAATTTTCTAAGGATGGGAATTTTGTGATTCCCCACTGGCAGTAGCTTTTACTAGTGTTTAATTCATTTTACAATATAAAGTTTCATCCTACACAACATAAAAAATGTACATCATATGAAAGAAACAGTGATTCTATGCTACATGAATCAGTGTTTATTTTCTCTTATTTGGCCTGTATAGGGAGCTATAAGCTTACTCTTCCTTAGAACATCCATCTAGTCTAGTTACCTTGATGCCTGTGGGTAAAAAATTGAGAAAAGAGGAGGAAATAAATTTTAACATTAATTGGATCCTACCATGAGATGATCTTTTGACTGGAATTATCTTTGTCCAGGTTATTGTGTTCCTTTGTTGTTACAGCTGTTATAGTCAATCCTGAGAGGTCTGTGTAGTCTGTCTTTGTCCTTTATCCATCAGTTTAAGACAGAGATTCTGATGAGCTATCATTCTATATGAGGCTGGGGGCTGCCCAAACTCTGAATAGCCTGGAGTGAGAGTTGAGGGGTGTAGGCAAGTTTGGAAGGAGGGTGTGAGGTCGATTCCCTTTGTTTTTACTACAGGTGTTACTACATACTTGTGGAAAATGATAAAATTCCTCAGAATTATTCTCTGCAATTCTTTTTATTCTTAATTATTATGACTATGTAGTTTTATGCATTTATTGGGTACAAGTGATATTGTAATGCAGGCATACAATGTAAATTAATCACATCAGGGTAATTGGGATATCCATCACCTCAAGCATATATCATTTCTCTGTGTCAGGAACATTCCAGTTCTACTGTTTTAGTTATTTTAAAGGATACCATAACTTACTGTTGATTACAGTCACTTTGTTGTGCCATCAATATACCACATTTTAAAAAATCCATTCATCTGTCAATGGACATTTAGGTTTTCCATTCTTTTGAATAAATACCCAAAAGTAATTTTTTGAAGAAACTTTATACTGTATTTCATAGTGGTTGTACCATTTTGCATTTTTACTAAAAGTGGAATGACAAACTGAAAAGCTTCTGTACAGCAAAAGAAACAATTAACAGAGTGAAAAGGCAACCTACAAAATGGAAGAAAATATCTGCAAACCGTATATCTGATAAGGGGTTAATTTGTAAAATATATAAGGCACTCTTACATGTTGACAGTAAGAAAACTAATAACTCAATAAAACAGTGGGCTAAAAACTTCAATAGACATTTCTCAAAGAAAATATACAAATTGCCAACAGTTATATGAAAAGATGCTCAATGTCACTAATCATCAGGGAAATGCCAATCAAAATGACAATGAGATAATCACTTTACACCTGTTAAGATGGCTGTCTGAGATGCTACAACCAAAAAGACAAGTGTTGTTGAGGATGTGGGGAAATTGGAGCCCTGTTTCATTCTAAACTCAGCAGCCTGAGTGAGCTTTTAGAAGATATACCATGTCTCTTCTTTGCTCAGAACCCTCTAATAGCTTCTTATGTCCCTCAGAATAAAAGCAAAAATTCTTCCCAGGGCCCAGGAGAATATGTGGCTCCCATTACTGTGATTAATCTCCCACCACTCTTGCCTACCGTGTTGGCCTCCTTGCTGTACTGTTAACATGCCAAGTGCACCCCAGGCAGTGCCTTTGCACGTGCTGCTCCTGGTGCTCAGGGAGTTTGTCTCCCAGATATCTGTGTGGCTCTTTGCCTTACATTTTCAGATCTGTGCTCAATTGTCACCTTCTCAGAGAGGATATTTTTGACCACCCTGTATAAAATAGCAATCCCAAAAACCCTACCCTCCCTTTCTTCATACCCTGCTTTCTCTGCAGTACTTATTTTTAGACAGGGTCTCTCTCTGTCTCTGAGCAAGAGTGCAATGGTGTCATCATAGCTCACTGCAACCTCAATATCCTGGGCTCAATCTATCTTCCTGCCTCAGTCTCTCAAGTAGCTGGGACTACAGGTGCCTGCCACCACTCCTAGCTAATTTTTCTATTTGTTGTAGAGATAGGGGCCTCACTCTTGCTCAGGCTAGTATCAATCTCCTAGCCTCAAATGATCCTCCTGCCTTGGCCTTCCATAGTGCTAGGACTAGGTGTCAGCCAACACACTTGGCCTCCAGGCACTTATGACCAATCAGCAAGGCATGGCATTTGTTTAGTTGTTTGTAGTCTGTTCCCCCATTAGGATATAAATTTCATAGGGGCAGAGACTGTTTTGGAACTGCTGTATCCCTCGTGCCTAGAACAATACTTACCATGACCTGAGGTTAGGGATTCAATTAATACTTCCTACCAGCTGGATGAAAAAAATAAATAATAGATCAATAAGAATTAGCCTACTTTCTTCTCTTGCTTTTCCCTTTATTTTATGTCTCCCACTGCCACTGTTCTTCATTTAGCCAAGTTTTCATGTATCAAGAATATGGTGTTTTGTTTCTCTTTAGTTATAAATGTGTTATCTATCCACCTATTTTTGTAGAAAAGTACCCTTCCATTCGATGCTGGAGCTTCATTTAATGCCCACGATTGTCTATGGCAGCAAAAGTTGGACCGTGTGTGTGCGTGTATATATTTTAAACTTGTCTTTACCCTGTAATGTTTGTAGTAAAAACAAAGGGGGATATAGATTACCTGTCTTTGATGTAACTTTTCCATGTTGTTGCAAGTCATTCAAGAATGAATGCAGAGCATAATGTTTAAACTTGGAGAGGCAGAAATTCAACATTTCTTTGAACCGAATCATGGAATTCCTATACTATTTAGATAGACTTCCAGTTGAGTAAGAGAGCTGACATACAGTATAAACTCTTCTCAATAGGCTGGATTCTTCTTTAAATTATTTTTTCAGTATTTAATTAAAATGCTATAGCAATTCATTTTTGTTACATTCAACTAACATTTCCTAAGGGACTATAGTGTAAACTATAATAATATTAATAATTTATAAATACAAGCTGGGTGTCAGGAACTCTTATAGGAATTGCATACATTCGTTTTTAAAATTTTGAAATTTATAACAGTTCTGTAAGGTAGTGAATATCATCCTTGTTTCCCATTAGGAATTTGAGGCTTCCAGGTGGTTAGTTTGAGAAATTCCATAATGTCAGGAATGTCAAAGCTTGGAAATTAACCCAGTCTGAATTTAAAGCTTGAACTTGTTCTGTTAGACTAATGTTTCCCCAACTGTGGATCACAACCTACATTAATAAAATAATTTTAAATTATGATTATTTGTACACATACATATAATTGAAACAAAAGTTTCACTATATAATACTCTAAGCATGTGGAATGAACTCTATTCCAGCCTAACCTGACCTAGCCCAACCTTGCTATGTCATGCTTTGCCTGTCCTGTCCTATCCTATCCTATCCTATCCTATCCTATCCTATTACATTCCACGCTGTCATAGACCCACTAAATTGGTTTTATGATGCACCCATTGTTCTATATGCTGCTTCTATATTCTTAAAGCACTGTGGATACAAAATTTGATAAAATTAAATGGTAAGGGACTTATAGATACATAGAAGAAATTTAATGGTCAGATATAGTAATCATACAAAATAATATATTAAATATCAAAGCCCTTTGACTTTGTTACTTCTATAAAGGCACAAAAGTGGGAGAGATTCCTTGAATCCCTCCTCTCAGGTACTTTCAAGGGTCCCAGCCTGACAAGGCCATGAGAACTGGGGAAATGATTCCCATAATATAATCACAACATGCCTGTGCAACTTGGCCGTTTATTTCTTCCATGTCTTTGACACCAATATTGATACCTAACCAAAAGGTGTTAGGCTTTAATTTTGTATTTTAATATGCCTGTATTATATCCCCAATAACCTTGTGAACTTTAATTCAAGGAATAAAATGGCTTTGAATGGGCTTTGAAAATAGCTGAATACATGCAGTTCATCATTGTTGATATAAATATCATTGGTACTAATATTATTATCATTGTATTATACCTCTATGATGCCTTAAAAAGTAAACATTAAATATAAATACTTGCTATGTTGATGAATGAGGGACATGTATACTAATTTCAATACTGTACAATACTTAATATTTGAATATAACTATGAATTATATATCAATTTCATTATACTCCAGCATTAATTTTCTTAAATTTCTCTTTCTAGGTTGAGAAAAATCACTCAGTTTATTTAGCATTTATAGAAAGCTCGGTATGTATAGAAAGAATATTGTACTGCATACCATCTCCACTGCCTACATCAGAAAGTCAGAATTCGATAGTGTATTATTTTTACCTCTTCAGCCTCATGTCCTGCACATTCCTCCTACACCTCTGTACAGGTGCCATTTGAAGGATCTTGAATAAAACACACAACCCATGCCTTTGTGCCTTAGCCTGGCTGTTTAGCCCTATTTGTCTGACAAATTTAATAGTCTTTCAAAATCTGTATCAGTTGTTGCTTTCTTTCTCCAAATTAAGAGTTAAGCCTCCATCCATCTATCCATGTATCCACTAAACAAATGCATATTGAGCTTCCACTAGGCTCCAGCTCTGAGCTGAGCGGTGATGTTAATCCAATGAACATGGTAAATCTCTGCCCTTGGAAAGCATCTCCTTCTAGCTGTGTCCCACTGACAGCTCCCTCATTCATTTCCCTTTTGGAGCAGAGTTATGTTGTTTTGTAACCATTATACTTGTCTGTTTTCTTCTGATAGGATTGTGAACTCTTATAAGGATATAATTGAAACTTATCTTTGGATTTTCAGAGCCTAGTATGAGTGTCCTTTCCCTCACAAACCTGGTGATACAAGCTATCCCTAGTTCCTCAGATTCTGGGCCTTTATTAAGCATTCTCATACACTGACATTTGCTTCTTCATCTGGAATCAGGGATAATGCTACTCTCCATCTACTGAACACTGAGGTTTATGTTGGAAATTGCATTCTGCGTGCTGGAAACATGATGGAAAGGTTCTGCACAGGAAGATCAAAGTCTATGGTTATATAGGCTATCACAACTAGAGTCAAATAAGTAATATTTGTAAAATAGTAATAGCAAAACATTTACAGTACTATAATTTGTAATTTACAGTATATTGATGGCTCCTGTATATTTTCTTTGAATATGTTGAGGTGATGTATTTTCTTTGAATATAGTGAAGTGACATATATATATATATATATATATATATATATTAGTTTTATAAAATCTATTACTGATAGAGTCTTAAGTCATGTAGTTCAATCAAAATTTGATGAAAATGATGTTTTTTGAGATTTCTACTTCAAATAAAATTGTGGAAAGATTTTTTTTTTTGGTTCTTCATATCAAAGGTTTAAGTGGTAATCTTAATGGAAAAAGCCTGTAATTGTTGAAAGTTGGTATAATCTTGTTAGGGACTCTTGTGAGTAAGGGTAAATAAAGTAAATGTGAAAAGATTCCTCAATTCCATTCATTTTTCATTAAAAAATCCATATGTGGTTGTTTTGTTTTCACACTAGTTTCTGATAGACCGATCTTTATAAATCCATCTGTCTTAATGATTTAAAGTTGTGGAATTGTCATGCAGAACTGTTTGGTGTTTCACATATACAACAAACATTTAATTTAACTTCCTTGCAAGGGAAAGGGTGTAAAACACTAAGCATCTGCTATGAATGGTTAGACCTTGTAAATTCAATAGATTATGTTTTCATAAAAATTTGCATTTTCTAAGTGAGGCTTCATTTTGATACATAATTTATAGTTAAATCATCCATGTGTTGGCAGTAGCCAGATAATGAAATGTAGATGGTGGCTTAGCATTGTTTATTTATTGAGAGATGTAGATGGATAAGGAATAGATTTCATGTGATGGAAATAATGGGATTGCTGGTCTTAAAATTCAAACCCTCTTAATATCATTTACTGATGAATCTAACTATACTGATACCATTAACATAAATGTTATTAACTGATGATTCTCTTTAGGATGAAACTAATGTGAACTGGGCTTTCAAAGAGGGATTTCAAGAGAGATTTCAAAGGCTGCCTTCCAATGGAGATTTTATATACTAGTTAAAACACTGTAAATTTCATGGCACTGGCAATCCAGTATCAGGTTTTCTGAACTGATTTTAATTTAAGTTGATTTTAGGCTTAATTTCACTTCATTTGAAGTTAAAATGGTCTGTGGAAAGTACTCTTTAAGGTAGATGGGTAAAAGAATTTTTAAAGACTGTATATGTGTGTGTGTGTGTGTGTGTGTGTGTGTGTGTGTGGTATGTGTTTTGTCTTTATATACATGTAATATATTCGAGAACACTAAGATAAAGCATGTCAAAAGTATCATATGGATTTTTTGTTTTGTTTTTTTAAATTTTTTTATTTCAACATATTATGAGGGCACAAATATTTAGGTTATATATATTGCCCTTGCCCCACCTGAGTCAGAGCTTCAAGTGTGTCAATCCCCCAGATGGTGCACACCACACCCATTAGGTGTGAATATACCCATTCCCTTTTCCCCCCTCCCATCTTCCTGACACCCAGTGAATGTTATTACTACATGTGCACTTAAGTTTGATCAGTTAAAACCAATTTGATGGTGAGTATATGTGGTGCTTGTTTTTCCATTCTTTGGATACCTCACTCAGTAGAATGGGTTCCAGCTCTACATATGGATTTTTTTGTTACTGCAATTTTATCTCTAGCCAGAAGAACTTCAGCTAACTGAGGTCAGACCCCTGAATTATGAGTGCATGTCTATGTGACCATGGACAACTCATTTAGAGCCTCTGAATATCTATCTATGTGCTCATTTGAAATCTTTTTAAAAAATTGCTACCATCAAAATACATACTTCAGAAGCCATAAAGGAAAATATTTCAAATTTGACATGTAGACTGACAAACAATATATGTAACATATACATCAGATGCTGTGTAAATATATATTGTAAATATATAAATAATATATAAAGAGTTCCCACAAATAACCAAACTCAATATAAATATGGATAAGGGATATGCAAAGACAATTCATAGAAGAAACTCAAATGCACAATAAACATATTACATATGCCTAAATTAATAAATTATTGAGAAAAAATTAATATGAGATACCTTTATTCACCCTGAAGATTGGTAAAATATTTTCGAAGTTTGATATTACCTAGTGTTGGCGATGGTATGGGAAACTGGGCACTCTAATATACTATAACACACATTTTGGGGGCCAATTTTTTATTTAGAAATTTAAATATAATACTTTGCCAGCAATTTGACTTTTTAGAATCAAAATATCATGGTGAAATATTTATACATTTGTGCAAACTCCTGCATATAGGCTTTTTATTTGCAAACACAGAACAATTGGAGATGGGTTAAACTATGTTATATTTATATATTAGAATGAGATAGAGACATATGTCTAGACATGGAAAGGTATTCAGGAAATATTGCTAAGTGAAAATATAAGTTATATGCTCTACATATATGTCATATAGTGCGTTAATGTGTGTGTGGTATGTGTGTGTAAATGCTCAGCAAAAGGGATCTGGAAAGATACACAGAAAACTGTTAACAGTTGTTAATCCTATGAGGGAGGTTTTCCTTTTTTATTGTAAACTTATGAATTCTTTTAATTTTATGGGGCTAAACTTTTAATCCATATTAATGTTTTATAATCCAATTCCATAATAAGAGTTAATGATGTTAAGTGTTTTAATTAAATGCACTAGAGGCAAAAAGATCTGACTTCTAGTTCCAGCTTTACCACTTTTTGTTCTTGGAAATTTTGACAACTCAATGGATTTCACTGAACTGTGTTCCTTCATCTATAAAGCTGATATAAAGATATTAAGTGTTCATAAAAGCTGAAGGGGCACCTGGATACTCAAAGTTCTTTCGATATATTTGTATATCAAAGACCATATCATTCCATTATGTTTAATAACAACTTCATAAGGTCTTTCATGTCCAGTGCTATGTAGACATTTGAACTTTTAAAAAAAAATTGTATTCTGTCATTTCAGCCACATCATCTATTGGCTTTTATTGTAATATTTTACTTGGATATTTGTCTTTCTCTTCGTTTCTGGATTACCTTTTGTCTTTTATGAGTTTTTAATATTTTAACACTTATGTGGCAATGCAAAATGTTAAATTTTTTAAAAATATATTTAAAAGTATTTTGAAGCATATGAAATGCACACATATATGCATATTTAAAATTTGCATTTTTTCTATGTAGTTGTGTGACACTTGCTTGGAAATAATACCTTGTGATTTATCTCAAGTTTTATTTTTACATGTGCATAATATAGGTTGCAAATTATGTTACATTCTGAAGATATTTTCCAGTATTCACCTTTTTTGAGGTGTGACTCTCAGGAGACTTAATGTTTTAGAAATCTAAAATAAAAGGAAACAAATTATATAAGAGCCTCACTCTTCTTCCATCCATTTTTAGCCCAGAGAGGCACTTACATAGTTAGAGGGGCTACCGAGAGACAGAAGGGAAAATAATTTTCACACAGATTTTCAATTTGCAATGCAGAAAGTCAGAGCAAGCTAGAGATGTCAGATGACCACCAATGACGATGTTTATGACTTCATACTATTCACAGGATTTCCTTTCTGTCAACATTTAGTATTTTCTACCCCTATGCTAGGTGTGGAGAGTGGGTGGAAAGAATTGTCATTTTTTTCCGCTATCCCATTCATCCCTCTTACAAGCTACATTACTTCATTGTAGCTTTTCAGTTCACATTAATGCTTGGAAATAAGAAATTTGAGACAATAGAAATGGCCAAATATACATTTCCCCCCAATTGCTGGACTCACTTTCCTGCAAAGCTGAGTCTTAAACTCCAAATCCATATCCATATTATCATGGTACATCTCCCTCTCTACCCTCCCCCTGCCCACCCCACCCGCTTTGCCTAATGTAATTATGTGCTACTTTTATCTCCATGGTGGGGGGCTCACAATCAGTTGGATACCTTGGATTTTCAATGGAAACATAAGACCTGCATTATCTGAAATGCTGTGCTGCTCACTGTTCTGAGTAATCTGAACTGAATTATGTTTGTAATAGGCTTTATTCTTTTGAGTGGAAGGAGTTTACACCATCCTACTACTTTGCAATATCTATTTATAATTCTTTATGCTGTAGAGCCATGGGAAAGCTATATTTTTTTCTTCTCTCTGGGGTTTTCAGTGGTTGGAGAGTCAAGACAGTGCCTTGTTAATTAGCAGCTGGTTTGTGTACATCCCCAGAGGCATATTCAGTCCCAACCCAGCCACAAATATCCAGCTTCAAACTGGGGAAGGTGACTTTGATGTGGGGCTAATAAGATTCATAAGGGGGTATATTTGGGGATTCAACTACAATGCATAGC